TGTTTGCCTGTGAAAGTCACTGCATCACTCCCACTCAATCTCTACTGGTGTTGGCAAAAACCTCAGACAAGTGTACTTTCTCAGACAGGAAGTGGAGGTTGACCTTTTGACCTCTACTTCCTGTCTGGGTCTACATTAGGGAAACTCATTGAGAAATCTAGACTTTAGGGAGCAGTGATAAATGTGTTCTTTTTACAAGTAAGAATTAATTACAGGATTTCAATTGAAAGAGGATGTGGTCAATGCTTTAGGGCTAATTAATAAAAAAGTTGAGAAACTGCCAGCAAGTGATAACTATATTATTAGTATATGTCAAGACAGTATAGGAAGTAGAGTGCTTGGTACACAGCCAAATACATTCACTGACTAACAACTCCATACATTTGACAGGAAATGTAGTAGGGAAGTTAAGTCTATGTACTACCCATACCCAGACAACAGTTTTGAATCATACATAGTGTAGTGTCAGATCAAAAGTACGCAGAAACAAGTCAAAATTTAAAATTAAAGTAGATTTTTGAGAAAACGGATAAGAGAAGGGTCTAGAAACTCGCATATTATAAGAATGAGAAACATTGTCAGTGATAATTTATGGCTGACAAAATTAGTGGAATTCAAATCACCTTGTTTCCTTACAAGTACATTTGTATGACTCATTTATTTATGCCTGTCACTGATCCATGCCAATTAGGGTTTAAGAACAATTATTGGGAGTAAAGAAGCTCTAAACAATTTACAGCAATATGTTAACTGCATAAAATACAAGCAAAATATCTGTAAAAATGTCAAATTCCAAAGTCTTTACCTTTATTTTCATCTGGGCAAGTTCTGCCTCTGCAATAGCGTGCTTGTACTGAAGCTGTAGCAAAGGAAATGAATCCTTTAGTAACTAGATACACAATCATGCACAGTCCCCTGGTAAACAGACATGGCCAATCTATGGGGTCATTTCAAAAGTTCATCATGTAACAAGTACATTTAGAAACATTACATGATAAACAGCTCAAATGTTGTGTCAATGGTAACAATATCTGATTTTCTACCCTGAACTTTCCATTTTGGGCGACACAAAAACACACCAAACATTCTACGTGTAACCCAATATAATTACAAAACACAGAAGTCAGGGTCAACCAAGTTGGCAAACATCAAGCTATATTTTTGGCAGGATGGCTGGAAGAGGTCAAATTTCTCACCCAGTGACATCAATAAAGTGAAGTGTCAAGAATCACAACACACTATAGCCAAAGTGTGCTAAGAGATTTTCTTTTTTGTGTAAGGCCACACCGATTTAATTTTATGGATGACATCCGCGCGCGCATTGATTTTCGCCCGATCTCAAAAAAAAAAAGATCACGTATTCCGAGGCTCTGGCCTGGCTTTAGGCCTGGGTAGTGCATGGTGGTGATAACTCTGGTTGACGGCAGCCAGGCTACCGAAGCTCCAAGACTCAAGAACTCAGTACATACGTACAGCAGTGTCGATTCATATATTCCGCAAAAATCCAGCATGTGTCGGCCTGTCGTATACGTCGCTATGTAATGC